AAAAAAAAAAAAAAAAAAAAAAAAAAAAAAGAAACAAAAGAGACTGAGGTTAATCGATGTAAAAGTATTAATATTCTTTCCATTGGCTTTTTCACTTCTTCGATAACTATTTTGCTGCAAGAAGAATGTCACTTTTGTCCCCACCTCTCGCCTTTCCACTTACAGCTGCTGCTAAGCAACAGAATTCTATGCAGACAGAACAACGACGACAACTGCACCGACGACGACGACAACGATCACGGTTACAGCAACATAAAAGGAAACATTACAGACAAACTACAACTCTGATACCCTCTCAACTAAGTTTTGTTGACCGTTTTAAACTTAAGACACAGCTAAACAACCCAAAAATAACTGAATAAATAGCCAAATAAAAAAAAAAAAAAAAAAGAATAGACAATAAAAATAGCAAAGAAAAAACAAAGTCAACTGAAAAAAAAAAAAACGTCTAATACGAAGAATCTTTAAAACTGTAAACAACACACAAAAAAAAATTGCGCAAAATAATAAGCAAAAAAAATTGTGATTTGTTTTCATCACTGTTGGAAAGGTAAAAAAAAAAACGAAAGATAAGAAAAAGAAAAAGAAGGAAAGAAAGACTAACGGTTGTGCATCAATGCTTTTCTCCTGCGCAACGTAATTCGATGGTATATATCCCGTTTGATTTGTCGTTTTGCTTCTCGCATACCACCAATCACCTTGCATATCATTGAGAATATATAGAAGTTCATCCTTTTTAAAACTTAAATCTTCATCTGTGCGGCCTTCATAGTCGAACAAAGCGACGAAAACTGGAGGCTTCTGCTGGTTGCTCGGATGCTCACGTATCGATACCGCTGCTGTACTGTGCACAACTGGCGACGACGATGTTAACGATGTTTCCGTTGCCGATAGCACTGACACTGGAATTGAAGTACCTGGATAAACTGCTGTTGAAGAACCTGCAAAAAAAAAAAAAAAAAGAATGAATAAATAAGTGAACCCATCTTTTTAACACCAAATTATTTTACAAGTTTCATTCTGGCAAAGGTTCTCTTACGGGATACGGAAATTGGATAACGAGACGCTGTAGCCAGATGGGGTATCAGAAAGAAGAGCCAAAAATGAGAAAGTTCAAAGAATGGCCAGAAAAAAAGGATTTACAAAACAGATAAGAGAAATCTAAAATTATTACGGATTTCTATTTACCAAATTAATGTTCATTTCAAATTTCTTC